ATATATTGTCTAGGTGGTTTGTCAAAGCAGTTACCGTAAAATCTCTATTAATTTGCAGTAGTAAAAGTAATTATTTATTCAAGAACGCAAATTAATAGAATACAATCAAATCAAAGACATGAATTCACTCACTCATGAGATCTACATGTATATGTGGTAGCGATAAATTTTCAACAACATTGTGCCAAAGTCATCTCTTTCTAATTCTCTCTGTGCTGACTGAAAAAATGTTATAATGTATGCTTTGTTTAAAAGCACTTTTTCTTGCCACATTGAGTAAAACAGATTTTAAAATTCATGTTTTGTTGAAATCGCTAGTGATCTCCTGTATTGGGATCACTGGAGGGTGTACCAGGGGGAAATGATGGGGACTCCCTATTTAATTTATTAAACATGACCCGTACATCAAGGGATGAATGACAAGTTTTGCAGCACGTTGTTTTTTAGCTCTGTTGTCGAGTGGAGCTTATCATATGAGTGATTTTCCGTCGTCGTCTTTGTCAACTTTTTACTTTTTCGACCTTTCTTGAAAACTACAAGCTTGATTGCTTTAATCCTTGGTGTATAGATTTGTTAATTTCGTGATGATATCTTTAATTCTCTAAATTAGACAAATATTTTTGTCATTTTTGGTAAAAAGTGATGTTTTTGACATCTTGTTAAAAACCGCAAATCTGATTGCTTTGATACTTATTACTATACTTGTAGGTACCTCAGGCAGGCCTCTCTCAGATTTGTTCATTTTATGATGGTATCTTCAATTCTGTAATTGAAATGTGCACTGCTAACAGCAGAGCTATCTCAGCCGAGAGGCTGCTTGTTTCTAAATGTGAAAAATAATGTCTGTGTTATGTTTTGCATGAAAAGTTAAACTGCGATTAAAAGGATACAAAGTTAAAAAATTTGAACACCATGAATTATTAGGATACATTTAAATGGGTGTGCATTTAGTAGAGACTGCGAATTATTATAATTTTCTGATTTAAGCTTATTATGATCACAGAGTAACATTTACATGTACATAATATTATTTATGAAGAAACTTTGAAAACATTTTTTTTTTCGTTTAACCTCTCATTTTATCCTTTATTTAATTGACTAAAAAAAAGTTTGCACCTCCATATATCATACAATTCTTTGCTAATTCCATATGCACTTCTTGTATTCAAGTCTACGTTGGCAATACAAATATTCATGACGCTATGAATACTTCAGATTCATTTCATGTTTGATGAAACAACAGATCAGATCATTTACTGGTAATATACAGACGACATAAATGATTTTTTTTCATAATATCAAATTTAAACTTCTTTGAAGCATTTGATGAGAAATAAATTAAAATTACTACACCAAGTTAATCAATAAATCTTGTATTCTAGAATTACAGATTAGATTATTCTAAAGTTACAGCTGTGAAACTCCAAAACATCAGAATCATATTTTGTGTGTATTTGCCCCTTTAATTTTTTTTTGCATACAGACACTGTCACTTGAATCTGGTGTACTGATGCGATACCATCCTACAATACTAGTAATTTGGGTGCAACAATATAATCATTGTCCCTTTATTTTTACTAGTTTTATAAATTACAATGAGTCTAGGGCTATTATACTTTCTGTGAGAGACTGCAATTCAGGGAAAGTAAATGTACAAAAATGTATGCTTTCAAAGCTAAAGTTCAGATTTACTTTAAAATCAAGCGCCCTTACAATGAGTCTAGGGCCTTGATACTTTCTGTGAGAGACTGCAATTCAGGGAAAGTAAATGTACAAAAATGTATGCTTTCAAAGCTAAAGTTCAGATTTACTTTAAAATCAAGCGCCCTTACAATGAGTCTAGGGCCTTGATACTTTCTGTGAGAGACTGCAATTCAGGGAAAGTAAATGTACAAAAATGTATGCTTTCAAAGCTAAAGTTCAGATTTACTTTAAAATCAAGCAGTTTATCAATAAAATTATTATTGTCACCAACCAAACAATGTTTTGACATCTTTGGGGATTGCTAGCAAACATTGTAAAATATATAAAATTGCTTTAATATGTATTAGGACCAACCAAGTTATTAAAGTATTAGTCTGAAATATCGAAAGTGTCCAACAGCTATATAGTTTTGAAGTGTATACATGGGATAAATTGCATAGTTCCGCTTCAAACATACCAACTTGTTTTGGTTTCAGCCTCCTCCTGCACAATATGGAGGAAGACATACAGTTACTCTTATACCTGGAGATGGTATAGGACCTGAGTTAATGGTTCACATCAAAGATATATTCAGGTATGTATTTTCAGATGATGCAAGTGACATTTGTCATTAAATTTGACATCAGTGGTTAGAGGGGGATATTGAACTTTTTAATCACAAACCAGCTTCTCAGACATACCGATGCGCCGATGTATTCGGCTTGGAAGCAGCGGGTAACCGCCTCACCTGTAGTAGAAGACCTGGAGGTATGTCTGGGCTTCTACTCACACGTTCGATTGTTTAGCCACGCTAGATTCAAGCGATGCTTCCTGGCACATACCGATGCACTGTCATTGAATCCTTCGACCCATTTGGGCCATGTATTCGAATTTGGGGCTCCCCGCTGCTGGTTATGCACAGCTCCATACGTGTTCACCAGAGTGTTGAAACTGGTGGTGCTGCTGCTGCATCAGTTGTTGGTACACATCAACCCATACCTAGACGACTGGTTGCTACACAATCAAAACAAGTGGTTGTTAGCCAAGCAGGTTAAGCTAGCACTGGATTTACTACACCAATTAGGCTTTCTAGTAAATCTAAAGAAAGTCCCATCCACACCCTGCATGTCAGTTGGTGTTTCTGGGCATGGAGTTCGACACAGAGGCAGGCTTTGTGCGTCCATTGCATTCCTGCCAACTCCAGGATGGTGGGCCATTGACGCATTATCGATGCCTTTCCTTCCTTCCCGCTGATTTACTGGGTACTAGAGAAACCTCAACAGGAGCACACCTGCATTTGACGCTGGTGGCACCCAACTGGCCAACCAAGGCCCAGTTGGAAATGTTAGTCGAGACACCGGTAGTGCTTGTGCTGTCCCAGCGAGATGGCACCAATAACATACAGGGAGGCTCTCAGTAGCCCCTTCACAGACAAAAGGTTTATCTGAGCTGACTACCAACGTCATGGCCGGGGCGAATAGAGGTTCCACTAACGCAGCCTATGACTCCAAATGGCGGGCATATGTAGATTGGTGAAGTAGAAGGGAGATTGATCCATGACACCCCACTGTTCGCCAGGTAGCTGATTTTTTCATCCACCTGTTTAGGTTACAATGTAGGCTTATCCTACACAGCAATCTGGTTTTGGGACAGCCTTGTCACCAACCATTGAGAACTCTTCGGGGCCAAGACTAGCCGATTGTCCTATTATTAGGAGACTGTTTACTGCTTTTCATAACCAAAGGCCTAGATCCAAATCTAGGGAACCTCCCAATAGGGACTTGTCGGTTGTGTGTCAGCTCTAAGCGAACCACCCTTTGAACCGCTGGAACCAGCACCACTGAAATATTTGACGTGGAAATAGTCTTCCTACTAGCACTTGCCTCTGGTAGGCATCTTTCTGAGTTAGGGCCCCTCTCCTTTACGAACAATCAAGTCTTTGCTAAAGACGTGAATCAGGTTTTTCACCAAGATCTAAATCCCAGAGCATGATCCACTGCTGATCGTCATCCCCTGTTTGGCCAATATTGTCAGCCCGGAGAATTAAGAGGAGTTGCTTCTATACCCAGTTCGAGCTTTGAGTTGCTATGAGAGATGTACTAGAGAGTCGAGGCAGGGCAACAAGCACATTTTATGTGTTATGGCCCGGGTAAGCTGGACAGAACAGCCTCCCTGACTTCCATTTCTAGGTGATCACTTCGATAGTATTTGAGCTTTATGACCTCAGCACAGGGTCGACAGAGACACCAAGTACGAGTGCATGAGGTTTGTGCGATCGCAAACTCATTAGCTCTTGCGTCAGGTGCCCCCCTCGAACATGTTCTGAGGGCAGGCTCTTGAAGAACGCAAAACGTCTTTATAAATTATCACCGAAGAGACACGTAGTCCATTGAGTAAGGTCTTTTTAGGGTGGGTCCCGTCGTTGCTGGTCAAACTTGGATTGTTGACCCAGCATGAGCGGCCACAGAGAATCCTGCACATAGGCGATATAGCAGTCTCATCTACAGATTTGTGCAAAGAAGTTTCTCCCGTCAGCACTCCTTGGACATCCTAGGTATCGCTTTTGACCTATGCCCTCATGCAGAACTGTTTCGGCCTCTTC